CTTTATACAGTTGGAGAATAACAACTACAAATGCTTAGGGGGAAATATTTTGCCTGAATCTGGGGAGAGAACGCCACCTTAACATGATTTTTTTTTACCATGACATTTGCAACAAACTACTAACACCTCTTCATAGCCCATTTCCAGATTGGACAAAAAAATAAAATCATAATTCTTCGGATAAATGAAGATCCCAAGCTAACTCTTGCTCACTGTTCCTCAGTTTCGACGCCTTTTCCCAGAATTATAATAATAATAAAGTTGAAGAGACCTTGGAGGTTATCTAGTCCAACCCCCTGCTCAGGCAGGAAACTTTATACCATTTCAGACAAATGGCTGTCCAGTCTCTTCTTTAAAACCTCCAGCGTTGGAGCATTCACTGCTTCTGGAGGCAAGTTGTTCCACTGGTTAATTGTTCTAACTGTCAGGAAATTTCTTCTTAGTTGCTTCTCTCCTTGATTAGTTTCCATCTGTTACTTCTTGTCCTGCCTTCAGGCGCTTTGGAGAACAGCTTGACTCCCTCTTCTTTGGGGCAGCCCCTGAGATATTGGAACACTGCTATCCTGTCTCCCCTCTTCCTTCTCTTCATTAAACTAGACAGACCCAATTCCAGCAACCGTTCCTTATATGTTTTAGCCCCCAGTCCCCTAATCATCCCCCTAATTCTTAGCAATGACCGTGCTGTCCAGGGAATTCTGGGTACATACTGAAAGCATATATCAAGAAGTTGCCAAGTCTGTACTTATAGCCTGTAAAACCCATGCACTATTGACAAAACAAACAAACAAACAGTCCTTTGTACTATGTATCTACTACATCTACTATATTCCTGACTGTAGCATGGTAGATGTTGAGAAGATCAGGTATTTAAATGTTCCTCAGGTCCTCGCTAATAAGTTTTATTTTTTTTTAACAAATCTCCTTTCCATTGTATACTTTTGAAGGTCCCATTTTATTGTCTGCTGCCATTTTTCATTACCACAATGTGTAAGTGTCTTAATTTAAAATTTAAAAAAAAAGCTTGCCCTCATTCACCAACCATTCAGAGAAGTCCAGTATTAAATCCTAGTGATTAAATCGGTAAAAATGGTGTAACGTAAGAGTAAAAATATGTTGACCTCTTATGACAACACTTCCCAGAGTTCAAGTGTAATGTGAATGTAAATCCTGTAACCAAAAATAGAAGCAGATTTTAAACAATTTACTCAGGGACTCATCCTTTGTTGTAAACATTAGTCTTTGATTTGCTCCCTTAAGGTTGAGTACTACTAATATTAATGAGGGATATATAGGAAAAGTTTTGGCTTGATGACACAGGATGAACTAACTCTTCTTCTTTCCAACTTGAAACGGATTTCGTTCAATTCTGAGGGTTTTAAGTCCACATACGTTAAAGTTGCCAGGTCTAGTGGCAGGGAAAAGAGACAGACAATTATTTATTTTATATTTATGTTCCTCTCCCAGAGGAAGGCAAACAGTAGAACCACCTTCATGAAAACTCTTGGGATTAATATCAGGATTTGATGAGGACTTGCGAGCCCCAAGCCATTGGATGGGACACAAAGCGACGGGTGGGAACTCATCAAGGAGAGAAGCAGCCTAGAACTAAGGAGAAACTTCCTGACAGTTAGAACAATTAACCAGTGGAACAACCTGCCTCCAGAAGCGGTGAATGCTCCAACACTGGAAGTTTTGAAGAAGAGACTGGACAGCCATTTGTCTGAAATGGTATAGGGTTTCCTGCCTGAGCAGGGGGTTGGACTAGATGACCTCCGAGGTCCCTTCCAGCTCTGTTATTCTGTTAATACCCAGTTTCCACTTCATTCGAGATCAGCTGTAAGTTAAGATATCTCCAGGCTGAGCTATAACTGTAGCTCTAACAGGATACATTCTTAAATCCTACACACTGGTCCATACACACCCATCTTTTGTTGCTGGATGGGATAAGCGTGACTCATTTAATCCTTTTACAGGAATCTCCTTACCAAGAGCAGATTTGTCCATCCGGTCTCATTTGAAAACCTTATCTGGTTTCCATCCAGGGAAAACAGCTGGTTTATGTAGCTTCGACCCAACGCCCAAATGCCAAAAGCAGAGAATCCAGGCTGGCTTTTCAGAAGCTTCAAAAACCAGGCCCAAAGTACCTTTCAACCCCAAATATCACCATGCTGGAAAAATTTGCATCAGGGAAAGTTTTCTTCCAGCGGGAGAATAAAAACGAAGGGATTGTATTTTTTTTTTTTTTCAAACACAGGGTTGCGAGAAGAGAGAATCATGCAAATCTTGTGGACTAGGCACTTCTCGAGGCAAACTTATATTGACAAAGTAAAGAGACCGGGGATATTGTTGTAGCACTGGTGAGAAGCCAAGTTAGGTTGCCATGAGCCATCTGCCTTATAAGGTGAAATACACAGATCCCCAAATGGCTTAATAACCTGGGTTGATCAACTATGGCTAAAACAAGCCACAGCTTAAACGGTTTGGTTCTGGATTGGGATCAATTGAAGGCCGCCTTCAATCTGTCAACATGGGTTACATCATGCCATGTTTGTTTCCAGGAGGGCTAGATCTTCCAGGATCTAGCCATCCTGGAAACAAACATGGCAATGATGTAACCCATGTTGGCTGAGGAACTCTGGCAGCTGAAGTCCACACATCTTAAAGTTGCAAGCTTGACGAACACAGCTTTGGTAAGGCCTTGCTAAGGCCACACTTGGAATACTGCATCCAGTTTTGGTCACCACGATTTAAAAAAGATGCTGAGACTCTAAAAAGAGTACAGAGAAGAGCAGCAAAGATGATCAGGAGACTGGAGGCTAAAACATATGGTTGCTGGAATTGGGTATGTCTAGTTTAATGAAGAGAAGGATGAGGGGGGACATGATAGCAGCGTTCCAGTATCTCAGGGGCCGCCCCAAAGAAGAGGGAGTCAAGCTATTCTCCAAAGTCCCTGAAGGCAGGACGAGAAGCAACAGATGGAAACTGATCAAGGAGAGAAGCAACCTGGAACTAAGGAGGAATTTCCTGAAAGTTAGATCAGTGGAACAACCTGCCTCCAGAAGTTGTGAATGCTCCAACCCTGGAAGTTTTTAAGAAGAGACTGGACAGCCATTTGTCTGAAATGGGTTTCCTGCCTGAGCAGGGGGTTGGACTAGAAGACCTCAGAGGTCCCTTCCAATTCTATTATTATTGTTATTGCTCTAATCCAGTGGTTCTCAACCTTTTTAATGCCGCAATCCCCAACCGGTTGTAAGTCAAGGACTACTCAACCGGTTGTAAGTCGAGGACTACTCAACTGGTGCAGCCCTGTTTGCAGAATGGGACTTTTGGCGGGCTCAGCAGGGCAGAGACAGCCTGGACAATTCCTACTGGCTTTTGAAAGCCAATAGAATTAGACCGTATTCAAGAGAGTCTATTCTATTGGCTTTCAAAAGCCAATAGAATAAAAGGGAGGAGCACAGCTAAGGAAAAGGGGGAAAAAATGGCGGACTGCATTGTTTGGTGACCCCCGTGAAATGGTCGTTCGACCCCAAATGGGGTCCCGACCCACAGCTTGAGAACCACTGCTCTATTCTGTATGTTGTACACAGATCTTGTGATGAGCATGCAAACATCCTTCAGCTACCATACCATACAATCATGAGTTTTCATTTCACTGGCCTTTGGCTTGACTCATTTTCTCTCAATCTGAGGTCAGAAGACACTGATGTTCAAGGAGGCCAATAAGCCCTTCCCAGACTAGAGATTCAGCTGACATCTGGTCATACAGATTCACTCTTGTACATAGGAAGGGCTGAAATCACACAACATGCCAAGAACCAAACCATATCATGGCTTCACATGCTGTGTGAAGTTAGCCGCTCACGGTGGCTATGAACCTAATTGTGGTCTTTTGATAAACAATGATTAAACAAGGCGTGGCTTAGTGCAAGATATGGACCCACTCAAAGAGAGGCTTCCAGACCGCTCCCTCCATTTTAAAAAAATAAGCCACAATAGCACAGGCGGTGTACAGAAGTCCATAAGTTGCCTATATTAATAGGGATCAACTGAAAGCGGCAACAAAACATATGGTGTTTTTTTTTTTAAAAAAAATAACCTGCCAATCTTCTTCCACATAGTGCAATGTGTACAGTACTTTTTACTAGGATCACAACACTTGTGAGTTGCGCACAACTGCAGGATCCATCCGTCAGTTTTACAGCCAAGTGAACATTTGAATTTGGGTCCCTGGATTCCAGCCCTTACAAATTACAGATGTGAATGCTCTGCCAAGCAACCCATTTATCACTGCTGAGACTCAACAGGTGACAATCTAATAATTAATTTCAAAAGTTTTATGCACGACGAACTTCTCGATCGACTCTTATCGGAGGTGATCATTCTGGAAACCTCTCGGTCACCAATTCCAGCCAAGCGCCCTTCACACCACCACCACCCCAGCACTTTTTAAATCCGCTCCAGCAGTGGTCTTCTGAGCATAGCCAGAGTGCATCTCCTCTCTCAGAGAGCCGCCGATTACAGTACTCGCAGACCACATCCCTCCGCATCAAAACACGCACACCGAGGTCGCCGCAGTGTGCGATACCCACAATTGCAGTTCAGCCTGGCAGAGCTGGGAACGCAGCCAACTCCAGAAACCCTGGTTTAGCAAAGCGTGAGAACTCGGCGACCCTGCCAGAAGTCTTTTCTTCCGAGGAAGCAGCGCGACAGGCGAGGAAAAAAACCCGACTCGCACCCTGCCTGTTTCCCAGCAGCACAAATCTCCCTAGGCACGGTAGGCGCGCTCAGGCAGGACCGGCCCCCAAGGAGTCTCTGAGCATGGGCAAAGTTTCCCCCCCTTCTGACTACAGCCCACTCGCACACCGGGATCTGAAGCTAGGCGGCGGCGCGAAGCCAAGAGAGGGGCTCCCGAGCCAGCCCGATTCCCCCCCCCCGCGTCTGTTCCCTCCTCGTGGCCCCCCTTCCACCCCAGGGGGAGACAAGCGCGGCTGCCTTACCTGCGGCGGAGACCAGGTCCCCGTCGCTCAGCTCCCCGGAATCCGAGTCCATGGCGTGGAGGGGAGCCGCCGGCCGCAGGGCACCGACTGGGGCTGGCAGCGCAGCCCACCTTGGCAGGAGCTCCAAGCCCTCCGCGCCGCCCGGCCGCTTGCAGGACCGCGGAGTCCCGAGAGCGCGCGGAGAGACGATCCAGCCGCGTTAGAGGGTCGCTTCCAGCGCCGGCAGTGGCAGCAGCAGCGCCCGGTCCAGCCTGCTCCCCTCCACCCCAAAAAAAGCGCCGAGTGCCAGCTCGGGCGGAGCCAAGAGGCAGGTGGGCGGTGCTGGTTGCGGGGGGGGGGGCACACAAAGGGGGTGGGGCGCCTGAGAAGGGAGGGCATGTTTCTGGAGCTGCCCCTCCCTCCCTCCCTCCCTCCCTCGCTCGCTGCCGCCTCTTCTACCTCCCCTGGAGAGCTTGGAGTTAGTACATTGCCCTGACTGAGTTTCAGCAGCTCCTTTTTTTTCCAGGGTAGGGGTCTGCCCCTATTGCTTTGCAACCCTCTCCCGTAGATTTAGGCTTTCTTCGTTGTCCCCCCCCTCTCCCCGCCCACAACCATCCAATGCCGGGTCCCCCTCTGCGGATGGATGCTCCGCCAGCGCAAAGGCTCTGTGCCGGCTGCTCTCTGGACCGTCGTGAAAGATTTGGGTTCGATTTGATTAACAGAAGCGACGCTTGGGTTTGCTCCACGAGGTAGGACGGAGCAAGCTGCAGAGGTTTTGTGTTCAGACAATGCTCTGATCCACACAGCTTGGCTCACAATCTCGGGTGGTTAGATTCCCACACACAAAGGCTGAGCCAAATCACAGCCTTGGTTTAGCATGTCGTCTGAAAGGATGAAAGGAAGTGGGTCAGGATCAAACTCCTGGCAGTGAGCAGAGTCAGCCTGCAAGGCTGCATTCTAATCACTGTGGAGGAAGGAAGGAAGGAAGGAAAATAGCAATTATGCTTAGATTTATATACCACTTGACAGTGCTTTTCAGCTCTCTCTAAGCGATTTTGTAATATCAGCCTCTTGCCCCCAACAATCTGGGTCCTCATTTTACTAACCTCAGAAGGATGGAAGGCTGAGTCAACCTTGAGCCAGTCAGGATCGAACACCTGGCAGTGAGCAGAATCAGCCTGCAATATTAACCACTGTGCCACCGTGGCTCCTATTTATAATAGCAATAGCACATTGCCGCCAACAATCTGGGTCTTCATTTGATCAACCTCGGAAGGATGGAAGGCTGAGTCAACCTTGAGCAGGTGAGAATCAAACTGTCGAACTGCTGGCAGTCGGCAGTCAGCAGAAGTAGCCTACTGCATTCTAACCACCGTGCCACCTCTTATAAACCCCACTGGCCTTTGACTCTAATGCTGAAAGAGGACAGAAAGAATCGTTTTGGTCCCCACCTACAGAGAAATCAAAGATGGTTGTTTTCCAAATGGGGCCGTAGTGGCATCCGTGGGGCAGTTTGACCTCCCCCCCCATGCACTCCAAGGCTGCTTGTGAAGGCCATACCATATCAGGAAGGTCAAAAAAGTCAAGATGATGGCACAGTCATACAATCAAAGCCCCGTTCCTTTTTTTTTTTTTTTTAAGGTGTACTGCCATCCAGTACCACAGCTAGTACAGCTGCACAGTCAGTTCAGGAAATCGTGAACTGTACAGTCAGCTCAGGAAATCAGGAAGGAACAAAATATTCCACAGTTACAATGGAGGAAAAACTAACTGCAATCGGAAATGATCCAGAGCAGGTTCAGAGAACAATGACAAGGATTAAAGAAAGAGCTGCAACAAATAAACAAACATTTGCAAATGTTTTGGGAAGTTCACAAGAATAACCAGCCTATCCGAAAATAAATATATAAATAAAACATCTTCCTTCAGTCTTTGAAAATTGAGAGGTGAGTCAAGTAAATTTTACCAGCATTTCCCAAGGCATGAATTCACATTTTGGTCTATGATAAGCTCCATTGGGGCTCTTAAAACTGAGAAAGTCAGTCAGCGTTGCTTTAAAATGCTGTATTGTTGGGATTGTGCAGAAAGCTAGACATGTGTGCCTACCTAAACTCTTTTTCATTATTGTAACATACAAATAGAAATAAAAATAGGGAGTGGGAGAGGGAGAGAGACACACACACGGAGACAGACCACAGAATCAAAATAATTCCACGATCCAACATAATTTTGATTTAAAAGCAAGCTCCTTTTGTATGCTTTTAGCTAAAGATCGGCAGATCAGATTTTCAAGGAAGGTTTTATATCAACATCACAAAACAAAAGTAAGTGGAGGCTTATATATTTAGCTGTGCTTAAATAAACAAATGGTTTCTATAGACAAGTCATTATCTGCAGAGTAGGCACAAGAATAAGACTGAACTGAATTATTTTTGACCAGCTGGATTTCTGTTTATGGTCCAGACAGTGTCACTGCTTTATTACACTGAATGCTGCCTTTTTCCTGGAAACCAAGGCCTTAATACTGAAGCCCCCAAATCTGCATTTTTTTTCATTTGGGTTTCCAAAGTTTATCTAGTACCCCAGATTCACCGTGCTTCTCAAGTTGAAATGGCAGCTAGTGTTGTGCACTTCTTTTGGCTGTTTATTTTTCCTCCTCCTCCTCTTCATCAACAAGTTTGATTTCTTAAAAATCCTCGGTGGGTGTCAGTGGAATGCGATTTGTGGGTGATAACGTCAATCATGAAAACAGGCCACTGGCTCAATTGCAAGAGAAATCATCTGAACTGTAGGACTTTTGAATTCTCTCTTAAAATATCCAAGAGCAAAGACTGTGCTTGGAGGTGGAATTTGATCCCTGTGGTTTACAGTTTGGATCGAGAAGATGCTGAACATCTGCTATTAATACTGAAAGTTACAAGGAGCTGCAGAATTTCTCCATGATTGACATCCAAACTGGGCAAAATGCCATTTAGGCCATCAACAGTTGTGTGAAGGTTTTTAGAGAAGCCAACTAACCGCTCTTACAAGATGCTGGCCTGGCCTGGCCGGAGATTTTTCTTCCATCCTGGAAACAGTTTCATCTCTTGACCACAGGTACCACTTTGAAGATGGGTGGGTATCTCCTTTTTTTCAATTAGCTTTCAAAGTTATTTCCAGCACTCTTTGTGCATAGCTATTTTGAACTCACTTTGTTCCATGGGGATTTATTCACATGCAACGGAGGATGAGATGACAGACAGAGTTCTGGGCATGTTTGGGCCTATATCATCATTAGCTAACATTCCGTAGATGTTTGCCATTTGTGGAGAAGATTTCCACAACATCCTGAAACAACATTGTGATTATGCCCTTTGTGAAATAGGGTTTTTTTTTGGGGGGGGGGGATATACTAGAATACCTTTCTTCAACCCAGCGCTTTCCAAGTGATTTAGCACTACAGACTTGATTTGCCAAGCAAGCAATGGCAATAAGACCCACATCCACATCATCCTCACTTGATCAAACCACACCTTAGCTGACTTCACTCGTTCTCTCAGCCCCACCTAATTCCTAAGGGATAAAGGGAGAGAAAGTCCTTGAAGTCTCCAAGGCAGGGGTAGGCAACCTTGGCTCTTTTATGACTCGTGGACTTCAACTCCCAGAATTCCTGAGCCAGCATGGCTCAGCATGGAAACCTCTCCCTTTCTTCTCAGCATGGCTGGCTCAGGAATTCTGGGAGTTGAGGTCCACGAGTCATAAAAGAGCCAAGTTTACCTACCCCTGGCCTAAGTCTTCCTGTTCTAAGCGGTGAGCCTCCTAGACCAGGGGTAGGCTGGTTGAAGTCCATGAGTCATAAAAGCCAAGGTTGCCTACTTCTGCTCCAAGGGAATGTCGACAATGATCAATAAAATGAATTCAGATATCAGTGTTAGGACATACCCTTTGTAACTGATTGTCCGGTTACTTTTTAGCTTGTTGATCTTTGAGTGATGAGGGTTGCCTTCTATTTATTCAAGTCCTTCTTGGCTGATTATATTGATCAGGATGCTACCTATTCCAAGATTATGGAGCTTATCAATGCCATCTTGTAGTTGGGCATACTAAGGTTATATAGAGCTGGCTTGGTTTAGGACAGGGGTAGGCAACCTTGGCTCTTTTAGGACTCGTGAACTTCAACTCCCAGAATTCCTGAGTCAGCATGACTCAGCATGGAAATCTCTCCCTTTCCCCTCAGCAAGGCTGGTTCAGGAATTCTGGGAGTTGAAGTCCATGAGTCATAAAAGAGCCAAGGTTGCCTACCCCTGCTCCAAGGGAATGTAGACAATGGTCAATAAGATGAATTCAGATATCAGTGTAAGGACATATCCTTTGTAACTGATTGTCCAGTTACTTTTTAGCTTGTTGATCTTTGAGTGATGAGGGTTGCCTTGTATTTATTCAAGCCCTTCTTGGCTGATTAAATTGATCAGGATGCTACCTATTCCAAGATTATAGAGCTTATCAATGCCATTGTAGTTGGGCATACTAAGGTTATATAGAGCTGGCTTGGTCTAGGGCAGGGGTAGGCAACCTTGGCTCTTTTATGACTCGTGGACTTCAACTCCCAGAATTCCTGAGCCAGCATGGCTCAGCTTGGAAACCTCTCCCTTTCCCCTCAGCATGGCTGGCTCAGGAATTCTGGGAGTTGAAGTCCACCAGTCATAAAAGAGCCAGGGTTGCTTACCCCTGGTCTAGGAATTAAGGTAATGGCTTAGAAACCAGGAGACTGGAAGTTCTAGTCTCACCATAGGCATGAAAGCTTGCTGGGTATCCTTGGGCCAGTCACTCTGTCTCCGCCCAACTCACCTCACAGGGTTGTTGTGATGGGGAAAATAGGAGGAGGGAAGAGCCTAATATTAGGTATGTTCCCCATTGAGTTATTTATAAAAATAATAAAGGCAGAATATAAATAAATACCACGATTTATAAAATATGATATTATCAACCTTTAAAGAAACTTTATTCTGCTTCAGCCATTGCTGTTTCTTAGCTTGCGTACAGACCCAGGTGGGGGATGAATAGAATGTTCCTCATGGTGTAAGCAGTTCAGCATGGGAACCAAGGTCAACGGAGAACCATTGGCTGGGAACTGAAGATTTTCTCATAACAATTGTCAGACACTTAATTGACCTGCACTGTCAGGAGGGAAAGGGGGGGGGGATTCTATGCTTTTAATTTACTGAACTGGCACCAGTTTTGCCAGAGCTGGTTTTCTACTCATCTATGCCAATATGGTATGCTCAATAAAGTTT